AATGAACAAGGGCTATGCTTACAGTACAAAATAATATTTTAAGTTGAGTACTAAGTCTTGCACCCTTCATTTCTAAATAAACAAGTTTCTAAAGTTTCAAACTACGAAATACCAACGAATTTCTTTCATTAGAAATGTTTATTGTTTACCTTTTTGTCATTTTAAAACAATTTTTAGTATTCTATAATAATTTGCGAGAAAGAAAACTGATATTTTTAAAAATATTGAAAAATGAGCAATTCGTTAAACAATTTATTCTGTATTTTGGTTGTAAACCTAACTTTTTGAGCACTATCTTTTTTCTTTTGACATTAAAATAGGTTTCATTGAAAGAAACGATCGAAATCGCATCATCGAATGTCGTTCTCGTTTCGTTTCGTTTTTGAATACTCAGCTTTTTGAAATTAAATCTATAATGAAATCTTCAAATCTTTTCAGAAACTTTAAAAAGTCATTTGTACTTTAAAAAGTCATTGAAAAAGTCTATCTAAATATCTATCGATTAGGCTATTTAATGAAAAAAAAACCCGTATTTCATTTGATAGCTTGAGACTTATTCAATTAGAAAATGAAAGACTGAAAGACTGAAAGGTGAAAGACTTAATACTTAACCTAATAGTACCTTTTTACTGGTGTGAGTAGTAATTAAATTGAGGTCAAGGCAAAGTTAAGCTAGAAAAAAAACTAGTCAACTTAAAGCAGTCAATTTCAGTCAATTTATCAAAAAAGCACTCAATTTCAGTCAATTTGTCAAAAAAGCACTCAATTTCAAGTCAATTTGAGTCAAAGTCAAAGAGCAAAATATAAAATTTGACTCTAAACACTTCTTTTAAGTTGATAGCTACCAAATTTTGCTTAAACACTTTTGCACCTTTAAACCTTTAAATCTAAGCCTCAAAAATTCAAAACCCAGATTGGCTTTTAACTGGCTTTTATCTGGCTTTTATCTGGCTTTTATCTGGCTTTTATCTGGCTTTTAACTTGGCTTTTAACTGGCTTTTAACTGGCTTTTAACTGGCTTTTAACTGGCTTTTAACTGGCTTTTAACTGGCTTTTAACTGGCTTTTAACTGGCTTTTAACTGGCTTTTAACTGGCTTTTAACTTGGCTTTTAACTGGCTTTTAACTGGCTTTTAACTGGCTTTTATCTGGCTTTTAACTTGGCTTTAATTTGGCAAGTCATCTATTTTGACTTTTTTGTCAATTCACCTATTGTAAAAACTTTAAAAGAACCATTTCGCCTATTGCCTGGATTAGGCAATATTAATTGGATTAATCAAGTTCTTAAATCTCATAAAAACGTATTCAACAAACTTTCGCATTTCTACCCACCGTTTCCCATTATTCCCACCATCGTCATTGTGTTTTAGTCTTATTTTTTTTTCCTTTTTCCTCCCTTTAAGACCGATAATAAGTTCCCGTTGCCTCAGGGAATGAACAAGAGAAATTGGGGTTCTTTTTTGACCCGATTCCCGAATATATTTCTTTTCACACACAGGGAAGACTCTTAGCCGATAAATGTGTACATGAGCAAAAGCAAATAAACTTTTTCTCGTCTCCCCTTTCCTTCAATCCAAACACAAACATTCGATAGGCAAATAATATGAGAGACGCGTTTTTTTTTGGTTTCCTTTTTGATTTTGACTAACAAAATAATGATTTGATTGAAGTTGAGAGTAGTATGGAAAGGAAACAAGAAATGTTTGAGTTCTACAAAGTCATCCTCTTCGCTCATCACAATATTTCTAACTAAACTTTTATTATGGTACTGTAATGAGATTGGGAAGCAATATTGAGTCTAAGCAATTGAGTCTTTTTTTCAAAAGCAATATTGAGTCCTTAAAACAGGAATGTTCTGATAGACAATCTGGCCATAAGAAATCGCTTATCTATTCTCTAAAGTTCTCAATTTCTCGCCAATTCTCTCAAAATCCATCATCTTCTGATTAGTCATGCCGAATTTTGATGTGTGTCGATGCGCTCGAGGATATTGGCCGAGAATTGCATGTGAGCAAAGAAAAGAGAACAGAGAGATGTCCATTGTGTGCTCAAGGGTTAATGGGTTGTGGAGAAGAAAAGGGGAAAGAGGGAAGAGGGAAAGAAGGAAAGGGGGAAAGAGGGAAAGAGTGCCCCCGAAAAGGACAGCCTGATATACCCGATTGGCCGTGCGGAGTATACCCGATTGACAATGCGGACGGGAGAGACGCCAACAAGCGCCTCTTTCACTCATCCATTGCACCCCCCATTCACTCTTCCCACTTTTTGAAAAACCCCCGACACCAATATATTTCTTCACAGATATTTCTGGGGAAATGAATGAAAAGTGATAAGAAAAGGAGACAGTCCATTTAAAGGGAAATCAATGGGGAAACGAGTTTCCCGGGAGGGATCGGCAATTCTAAAGGAGTATGAGTAAGCCTTAGATGAGCAATAAAACCAGTCAAAATCTGAACAAAGCTCAAATACGTAGCTAAATAGCTAAGTAATTCACCACAATTCAAGGTGATACGATAGACTTTTTGAATCCCAGCTAAAGGGTTTAAACTCTGGTTTATTGTTCATCGTTTACAAAATACCCCTTGCTATCTAGTGCTTTCAAAAGCCAAGACCAAGGCTAGAACAAGACTAGAGCCAGACCCAGGCCAGGGCCAGATCTAGGTCAGCTCTGGGCAAGTAAGCTTAGAGACCTGGATCCGACGACCAAGCTCTAATCTTGCCTTACCTGGATTGGCTTGGCTTGGCCCTAACCCGGTTGAAACATCGCTGTTAATATCTGAAGCTATACAAGACGTAGAACTTCTTTACCTACACCTTGGTACAAAAAGGAACCTTCCTCAGATCTCACAATCAGCTTTTTACCAACCTTTGACTTTGTTTACAAATCAAGTGCATTAGCAAGGTGCTGTTCCCATTTCCGACACATTTCCGACACCAAGGTATACCCCAGTCAGTCGATTCTCCCACATTGATCACATTTTCACATTCAATGACCAACAATAACTAATAGTAGATCGATGAGCCATCGGATAGGGCTAGCTGGTCTTTTTTTCCCTTCTTTTTCTTTGGCTTTCCCAGTCGTTAGACCCTTTTTGGAAGAAAAAAAAGGGGAAAAGCAATAGAGTGTGCGTTCGTTTCCCGTGTGAAGGGGAGGGGACATTGAGCAGAAAAAGAACTCCTCACAGCCTCGATTTCCTCCTTTTTTTCCTTTTTCCCCTTTGCCCCCCAAATGCGGGAGAATGGAATGTCGCTATGGGTGGGGGGACATTGAAAATCATTCTTGGAGTTGGAAATTAAGAATGAGACTTTAGAAAGTTGCGTAACTTGTCAGTAGTCAGTTATTAGGATTGAGCTGTTAGATTGAGTTGATCCTGGACCTGCAGGGATTTTGCCTTAAAGTCAATCTCATAATCAACAACCATTAGCATCAATGGGTAAAGGAGTGAAAAGGGTCACCAGATGGTCTCTTTTTCCTCAAAATGATGAGAATGAATGGAAGAAATTGGATAGGGGATTGAGAAGAAATGGCTACTTATCTAAACAATCGATGTTGAAGATTTTGGAAATGATATAGACTTGGTCACCAAGCATTTAATGTCTAGTACGATAATCCAGTGTTAGTTTTAGAGTTTTACTTGTGTCAAGAATACTCTAGAACTTAACAAGTCTAGTAATAGTCCTATGATCAAGCTACACTACTGGACAATGAAATATCATATTTGAAAAACGATCGTCACTTTCGCGCGTCTGTAACTCCCTTGTCTTTACCGTATTTCTAAATATTAATATTACCTATTTAATATTAATATTAGAGTTTAAACTATTAGTGTTATACATTCTCTGAAAGCTCTTTTCAAGGGCTACACGATGGTAATATTAATATTTAGAAATACGGTAAAGACAAGGGAGTTACAGACGCGCAAAAGTGGCGATCGTTTTTCAAATATGATATTTCATTGTCCAGTACTGTATATAGGTCAAGTACCATAGTACCTAGCTCTAGCACAGTAGTCTATTGAATTTAATTTGTATTTGGATTTAGCTTGTAGATTTGTTTTGTAAGGGCATTTATTAAACCAGCTTAAGCCATTGGCTTTATTGAAGCTTTCTAGTTAGTCAAATTTTTGAACTACAGGTTTTGGACAAAGGGTCAAAGGGTGGAGCCTGGTCAAAGCAGGATTTGTCTAGCTTTCATATGAAGATATAATTCTAAAGATATTATTATATTATTATATATAATTCTGAAGATATTTGATAATCAGATTTCACACCTCTAAACAAGCAGTTTTCTGAAAAGAGGGAGTGGGTGCGCACTCCGCTCGGTCTATCAAGTATGCGGTGACCCATTGTGCGGTTTCTGTCGATCGTTTTTTTTGGGAAAGGGGAAAAGAGGAATGGATGGGTGAGGGATCCACTAGAGAAGAGAAAAGAATCATCCCTGACCATTCCTCTTTTTTGCCGTCTTATGGAACAACTCGTCTCCAAGAGATCCAACAGAAAGAGAGGGACTAATCGCTTATTCAACCGCGTCAATCCCCTTTTCGGTGACTCTACACACCCAGAAATACCCCAAGGGATGATTTTGAGATTAATGAAAATAGAAGGGTGAACAAGATTGCAAGATTTAAAAAGAACCAGAGAAAAACTAGAGAAAAACTAGAGAAAAAAACTGGATGGCTAGGTCTTTGTTCAAGTGCTTAGAAACAGAGCAGTGAAAGTTTATAAGTAATGCAATGCAAAACAATGCAATCTACTCACTTTAATTCAATCTCCCATTGTAGTTTAACGTTGTAGTAGTTTAACGTTAAGACCAGTGCTGCTATTAGACCAAAATTTCCAGGCCAAGTCAGGCTAAGCCAAAGCCAGCTGGGATACTGTAGAGAGACTGATAGATAGTCAGATTTCTTTAGTTTCATCAGATTCTACTTTTCTCGTAATATTTCCCAATCACTAATACTTTCTATTTTCTAGTCTATCCCTCTTTCAAGTTTTTTTCTCGAAACAATGAGCGCTCATGATTCCGCATGGTTATTCGGGTTTACTCCGCACGGCAATCGGGTATATGAAGGAAAGGATTTCGAGGGGGAAATGGGAAAGGAAGAGAGGGGAAGAGAAGGGAAGAGAAAGGAAGAGAAGGGAAGAGAAGGGAAGAGAAGAGACAGAGTGTGGCGCCGTCTTGTTTATGGCCTATCAAGTTGCGTGTTGCTCTTTCTTTCCCCCTTTCTTTCTCATGTTCTCTCCTTTTTTCAGTGTCTCTTTCACCCTCGAATCGCCACTCTTTTCCCCCCTTCTATCCTCTTTTCAATGTTTGTCAACGGAAATCGAAAAAGGGGGACTGTCGACTAAATGGTCTACGCTGACTAGGATAACATTTGCGTATAGTTAGACTAGGTAGAGAACAGTATTATTACAGTACAAATTCAGTATTGCATATGCAGTAACAGCAGTAATTCATACACTCGTTCCGTTGAAACGAAAACTATCCACTCTTGATGTTTAAACAATTCTAAAGAGTTTATACCGATAAATCGCCTAAAGTTGCTGTACTTTTTAGGAGCAGTTACGGTGTAGTGATTAGCGTCGCCATTCATAAGTGTTGATCAGTTCATAAGCCTTGCAGTTCATAAGCCTTCATTCGACTCCGGCTTCGGATTTCCAAGCTAGAGTGCTGAAATCTGCTACAGATAAGCATCATAGCTATTCAGCCATAGTTTATGCACTCTATAATGATGACGATAGCTTCTCTTGAAATGTTCCTTTATGTGAGCCTAATCATAGCATCAAACCCGATCGATTCTTTTTCTAAAGTCTCCCCTTCATACACCCCAAGAAATGGTGGGTAATTAGCGTAGAGAAGAGATGAACTGAAGACTCTCTCAAGACTCAAGAGATCCCCTTGTCACCCACTATTTCTTTCTTTCTTTTTCAAGAGATCCTTTCTCTTTTTCCAATCGGCAGATCATAAAGGATTATCCGTTGATGCTCTCCAAAAGCGGCTTACCACTTTTTTTCCAACCGATATGAATCTATCGAAATGAAAATACACACATTAGAGTTAAAGTAGCGATCTTAAAAACGAATAAGCTAATTGTTAGCTATATTTTGAGATAAATTATTGAAGATTTTAGAACTAGACAATTGCAACATTGTCTAACAATTGCTTGCTAGCTGTCTTTTTAAGTACAATACAAACAGAAGTAGCGAATCCCGACCTAGCTTATATTATTCCCAGTCAAACTTTTCCAGTTTTCCTTGTATAAATTGTTGGGTATAATACCAAGTACAGTAGAAAAGCAAAACAGCAAAGCAAAGAAAAGAAATACAGTAGAAAAGCAAAACTCTATATGAATCTCGAAAATTTCAGACGAAACGCGACCAGCTGAGCGTAAAGTTGCACCGATTTTATCGCGCCGATGATGTGCCTGAGGTGAGTGAAGGAGGGTTTCGTTTTCGATTTCGATAGCTATTCAGCTATAGCTTTTCTTGAGGGGTCAATAAATTTGAGAAATTTATTGAATTTCCCTTTTTTCACAATCTTTTGAACACAATTGTGCGAGATGAGTCAGTGCTTTTGTGATTCGGCAGATTGATTGTTTTGATTTGAGCATTTGGAAAGAACGATTTGAACCACGTTCTCTTGCAAGTTTGAAACAAATATTGTAGAGTTGCATATAAAATTTTTTAATAGGACTTATAGCTAGATAGGAAAGGATCAAGTTTAGGAAGTATTTCGTATTTTTTCAGGATTCTCTCTCGTTGATTCTTCAAGAACGGGGCGAGCTCGAATTAGAACAAGAGCAACAGGATCAATTGGAACAAGTAAATTTCTTTAATTGATTTGATTTAGCTTACTATCTTTAGCTTCTTTAGCTTCTTTAGCTTCTTCAGCTTATTTAGCTTCTTTAGCTTATTTAGCATCTTTAGCTTCTTTAGCTTATTTAGCTTCTTTAGCTTATTTAGCATCTTTAGCTTCTTTAGCTTCTTTAGCTTATTTAGCTTATTTAGCTTACTATCTATTTCTTACTAGAAAAAGATACTACGTCAAGGTGAAACTTTGATATGAAAGCTATGAAAGCTATGAAAGCTATGAAACTATGAAACTATAAAAGCTATCAAAGCTATCAAAGCTATCAAAGCTATCAAAGCTGATACTTTATAGAATCAGCCATACTGTTTCCAAGCTTGGTTTTAATTTTTAAAAAGGATAACTCTTATATCAAAAGGGCATAGTTTCTTTCCTTGATTTAAATAATTTTTTGAAATGAATGCAAAATCATTTCCAGGCTCATCAACGAGAAGTTTTCTCGTCAGAGAACGCGCAAACCTACTCGATCGCTGCTCTCAGGTTTATCAATTTTCGAAATATTTTAAATTACATCTTTTCATCTTTTTCAAATCTTTTCCTCTTAATTTTAGCTTTGATTTTCTTAAACAAGTTCTTTTTTTCTTTGAATTTTATTTGAACATTCGAATCGAATCATTTAACAAAATCATTTTGACAATTCAACTGATCAAAAGCCTGCCAATTTCTGAAAGATAATTGATCAACTCGAACTTTTTAGACAGATGCTTATAGGGCTTTGAAATCTCATCTGCCTTTCACTACCTCTTTTACTTTTCTGAACAACTTTATTAATCTCATCAACACTGCCAAATCCTTGTTCCATGACTTTCCAACAGGGTAATTTCATCACTGTCAGCTTTAGAAATATCTGACGAATCTCTTTTCTACAAAGTACAAGCTAGATCAATGAGTTCAACAGCTAACTCTAGATTTCGTGATGTTTTGAAAAAGAGAAACGGAGAGAATTGACACTATTGCAATATCTTTGAAAAGGGGAGACGCGGCGAGAAAATGAAATCAGATAGGGAAGAGGTGGAAATGAAAAGAGAACGAGGAAAAGAGAAAGATGAAAAGAGAAAGATGAAAAGAAGAGAGCAAAACGATTCTCTTGTATACTTTGCACGTGGGTTGGCTGTGGGCCAGAAAGGGGGAAAGGGAATTGAACGAGTGATGGGGGAGTTGTTGAGAGGGTCAGAGATGGAAAGGGAAAGGTTGACCACTGAGAGAGAGGAACATGCCACATCTACACTCACTCTCTTTCCTTATTCTTGTTTTCTGGTTGCCAATGGCTATTCGTGTACTAAGCCGACTCCAATTAGCTGCCCACTCTGTAATTGTTTCGACTCCCTTTCTCGAATGATCTCAGCAGAATTTTTCTGCCACCCTATAAAGCTATTTTCATTCTAGTTTGTTCTTAATGACTTGTTTTTTGTTATCTTAGTATTATATTATTATATTATTATACTATTATATTATTATATTATTATACTATTATATTATTATATTATTATATTATGATATTATTATATTACTAGTACTAGTGCACTTTCTAAACTTTATATTAATATCGTCATCTCAGTCTTATCTAAAGCTAAATTCACATAATAATCTAGAGAAATTAGAAGTATTTGAGAAGCTTTGAAGTTAGAAGTATTTGAGAAGCTTTGGAATTAGAAGTATTTGATAAGCTTTATTTGTACATCTCTATCAGATCTATTTAAGTGTTTACTAAGACGCTTTTTTGAACTTCCTAAACTAAAGTTTTTGAAAACAATCATAAACTTACCAAATATTATTCCTTTATACCTATCACTTTCTAATTTTGGACTGATCTCTATTTAGCATTTAAACTTTTTATTAATAAACCTCTCAAAAACAGTATTTTATTGAGTAGTTTACCTTATCTTTATCAATTTGAATAAATCGAAAATATTAGCTAAACTTTACCTTCCCATATCTAGCTTTGCCATTCCATACCTAGCTTTGCCATTCCATATTATTTCAAATAATTGCAGCACTGTGATCTTGTACTTTTCTTAGTTTCTTTTGTTGTTATCACCGTTTCACAGTTTGCTGTTTATGAAATCCCTATATGTTTAGTAATTGATTTATATAGCAAAGGCAAAAAATCGTAATATTCAGTGTAAACGGCGGGGTGAATCGGCAGTGTCCCTTTCACCCCAATGTCCTCTCCCTAGTGGTTGTCGATCAATGGAAGGCCGTCGTCCATCCATCCCCCTTCTTTCCCTTTTTTCCCCTTTTCCCCATTCTCCCCGCCATCCCTCACACAAACTGCAATCCCCATTTTCCCCCATTCACTTGTTTTTGTTTCAAATTTTGAGTTTTTGAAAAAAGCCAAGACATTCCAAACAACTTGATCCTACGTTCTTTTCTTGTTCTTACTTTTATAACTCGGCATTTGGTTATCTGTTCGTGTAGCTCATTGGTCAAGCTTTTAATCGATAAGCCAGAGGTTGCTGGTCCAAATTTTCCAGACCACATTTCGACCACAGACTTCTCCAGCTCAGAAGCGCAAAAAGACTTGCCAAGTTCAACTTTGTTCGTGAATTTAGCACAGCAATAGCACTTTTAACTATTTAGAAAAATTTCCCAAACGCAAACAATTACACAAGCTCATTTACACTCATTAGTGGGCAAAACTAGCCACACAATTCAGAATTTTCTTGTAATCTTTAGGACTGGTCTTAGAAAGGGAAATTTTTGAAACTAAACGAAGCCTTCCTTGAAATGTAGTCATTTTCGCGCATTTCGATGTCTATTTTCGAGTCCGTTGCTAAGATATCGAAAAAAGGGAATAAAAATGGCATTACTTTTTAAATGACCATTCTCTTTTTTTTTCTTTTTTTTCTACAAAACAAACATTTGCTGAATTTTGATCAACAATTTCTTTTGCCACCAAACATTTCTTGATTTTTAATCGATAAGCTAGAGGTTGCTGGTCCAAATTTGCCAGACCATATTTCGTATCCCCAGCTCAGAAGCGCAAAAAGACTTTTTGCCAGTCAATCAACCTTTTCGCCTTTTTTTTCTATTGACTTGAGATTTCATAATCAAATCTTTAAGCACAATTTTTGATGGTTCGTTGAATAATAATTTAATCCAAAAGTTTTACATTTAACATTTCAGAGGCAAGTGCAAAGTGTCATTTGTGAGGGATCTCCGATCATTGGGCGATACCGATTTGACACAAGAATCCGTCTTTGCTTGTTGTTTATCCTATAATCAAGTGAGTTGATAAAATAAATGAAATTAATTAGTAACTGAATTGAATTAGATACTGTAGCAGAATATACCTTGAATGGCTACTTTAAGTAAACTCCTTGATTAACTATTGAGACTGGACCAAGGCCAGGAAATGCTATTGGCTTTGCTATTGGCTTTGCTTTGGCTTTGCTTTGGCTTTTCTTTGGCTTTGCTTTGGCCTGCTTTAGCTTTGCTTTGGCCTGCTTTGGCCTGCTTTGGCTTTGCTTTGGCCTGCTTTGGCTTTGCTTTGGCCTGCTTTGGCTTTGCTTTGGCCTGCTTTGGCCTGCTTTGGCCTGCTTTGGCCTGCTTCGGCCTGCTTCGGCTTTATCTTTTACGTCCAGCTCTTCAAAGAACTGTCTCGTGTAGTTTTGGCAACTGACAAAAAAGAGCTATCAACTTGTGTTCAATTTTCTTTATCATTATGATTTCAGGAATCAAGAAGACTGGCACCTGTGCAAGGCGAGATCCGAGTCGGTGCAGCCTATCAGGTTTTTGAAAAATAAATCTCTAAACTAAAAACGAGATAAAAACTTGAGCTAAAAAGTTTAATATGCAGTGTTTTATCTTAAATTTCTCCGCTTTTCTCTTCTTTATCCCGATTCAAAATAAGCTCAATGTTTTTGTTTGACCAGATGCTCCGAAATGCAAATTTAGAGCAAATCGGTCGTATTCCATATACAAATTATTCATGAATAGAGATCTAAAGCTTTTTCTTTATTTGCAATAATGTTTACACAAAAAAAAAAAGAGAAAATTGTTTACATTTAGGCTTCTCCTTCCTCCCTTTTCCTTTCTTTAGTTTTCCCTTTAGTTTTCCTTAAAAGACTCATCAAAATCTTCTTTGAGCTTATACAAAAATAGAAAATTTCTTGTTTATTTTTTAGAACTTTATGATTTTGAAGATTTTTAAGGGAAATTTTGGTTCTTTCAAAACTTAATCCCTTGAGAATAATGCTTGTGAGACAAAGATTAATGGATGCGATGGGTATTTGAAAGAACAAAGATTCTAGAAAAGAAATTAAACATTATCAAATAAGGAACTTCTGCCGAACGCATCCAGGGCTGGGTTAAGACCAAATTTCTGTTTTAAAATCATTTGAAAACTCTATAAAGTGGTCGCGATATGATTCAAAACTCATAACAAGTACGAGCGCTATGCGTAGCGCTCTTGGTTTGTATGAGAAGCTGAAAAGTCACAATGTTTAGCACCAAATTGTAATAGTAGAAATGAATTAAACAAAAATCTTTAGGCAAAGCTACCGGCCGAGCCGACATGCAGTTTGTCCGAGGATCCTGATCGAGATGAGCTACTTTATGTGCCCGGGCAAATCGAAAAGGAACGAGAAACGCATTATGTGAATCTGACAAGGTGGGAAGCAAAATAAAGTCTTACGGAGTAAAGTCCTATCCTGATGACAATGGGATAAGTGCCGGTTTAGCTCAGGTAGAGTCTGGTAGAGTGCTTGGCTGGTAAGCGAGAGTTTAGTTAGCTCGGTTTAGCTCAGTTTCAAATCCCGGCGCCGATCGTGTTTTGTATTCTAAGATAATAAAAGGACCGCCGTGTCCCAGCTACGGAATTTTTGTGTTTTTGAAAGATTACAAGTACTGTAAAGATACTGTACTGTGAAATTCGACTAATTTAGACTTTTGTCACACCCAAGGATACTTTGCAAACAAAATTTAAGACTTCAGGTTAAAGTCAAGTAAAATAATATTCCATTTTCCAGAACTTTCCGCCGCTTCACTCTGTACGCATGCAAAATGACTGAAACAGAGCACAGCGCTCGAGTCAGCGATCGATTATTGGACGATGCGATTGTTGCTTTGCATAGGAATGGATACGATATCAAGAAAGCTATCAATGAAATGAATGCAAATGATCAGTTCGTTTTAAAGTTGTTAGTTAGTTGTTGAAGTTAAAGTTGAAAAGCCTTTTTTCTAACATTTCCATTCCAGACTACTCTCTTCGGATGTCTCATACTTAACGCAAGAAGATGTGAAGAAATTCGGGAAAGGGATTCGCACATACGGGAAAAATTTCGTGAAAATCTCCCGAGAATGTCTTCCAATGTACAAAAGAGTTCGTTTATTCGATTTCATTTTACTCGAATCTTATTAGAAGAATCTTATTTGATTCCCTTTGCGAATAGTTGAGAGAAAAGAAACGGGGAAATGGGCGACCGCAAATTTGATTTCCTGTCCAATCCCTGGGCTTCTCTTTTGGTTGAAAATTTGATTGAAAACTCGATGAAAACCCATTTTCTCTGGATTCTAGCAAAGGGATTCATTTTTGCAAAGTATTATGTGAATTAGAGAAATTTTAGGATCAATTGGTCAGTTTCTACTATTTGTGGAAAAAGTCACAGGATGCGACGAAACCGAAAGCCATTGGCAGAATGAGAAATCAGACAGCGATCACGAGGAAACCAAAGGTTTTTTTGTCAGCTTTTGGAACAAGATAGAAAACATTTTATGGACTACTAGAGTGCTTTAAGCAATAGCTACAGGCTAAAAGCTACAGGCTAAAAGCTACAGGCTAAAAGCTACAAGCTAAAAGCTAAAATAAAAAAGCATCTATTTTAAGGTATTGAGCGAAGAGGAATTCTTGGAGCAAACGATTAAAACTCTAAAATTAAACTAAACTTTAACTAAACTCTTTGAGAACTCTTTGAAAACGTCTCGTCCTGGATCGACAGAGTTGCACGATTATGCGAGTGCGAGCGAGAGTGAAGTGGAAACGGGAGAAATTGAGGGACGACCATTGAGATATGCTTGCCATCATTGTTATGAATCGAGTGAGTTCAATTCATTTAAATAAAACTGAGAAAATGATTCGCAAGACAGCAAATAAAATCATCAAAAATCTTCTCTAAAGTCTCGTTTCTTCATTTAAACGTTTTAAGACTGTCTAGAGATTACGGTAGCTTTTTGCACTTTAAAAAGTCGCTAGAAACCAAGACTAAAAGCTTTGAACCATTGAAGAGTTTAATGCAAGAAACCTTTGAAGGCTGGTGTTTGTTGAAATCAATGTCCCTTTCCTCTTTCCTTTGATCAGATGCTTTATTGATAAGCAATCTGAAATGATTCCCTCTCATCTTTTACGAGTCATTGAGTCGCTTTTTCCTATCATCAGAAAACCGTTTGAAATCGATAATTTCAGAATCGCGCGATTGGCATCACGCCGGCAGAGAGAATCTACTTTTATGCACGAATTGTCGGCTATTCTATAAGAAATACGGACAATTGAGACCTGTTGAGAGACCAGCCACAGTCCCTCCTGAGTTGTTCAAGAGTGGAGACGACGAGGTTTGTTTCTGTTTGATTTTTCTGTTGATTACCCCTAGTCAGTTAGAATTGGGAAACTTTAGAATCACATTAAATGCTTTACATTAGAAAATTGAGCTTTTACTAGCTTCTCAATATTCGAACACAGTCATTTTAACCGTTTACATTAAAGTGAATGAGTAGGTGAGTGTTGGAAAGGATATGGATCAAATTTCGAGCACTCCTATCTCTAAACTCACATATCCGATTTCACATCGACTCTAAAAATACATAGTCAAGTGCTAGTGAATTGGAAAGCAAAAGATACCTAGATTAGGCAATAATTCGAAATCGATTTATGCAGATTTACTCATTAATTTTCAGGAAGAATCAGGCGTTCGAACGCGAGCTGGACGCAAAAGAAAGACAGAGAACGCCGAGTATGGGAGATGAAAGAAGAAGCCCGTCACAGGCACAATCAATTCATGAATTCGATCTCGAGAAGAAGCCACTCCATCACAAAAATGGGAAACGAAAGCGAAGTGCCGTGCCACATGTGAATGGGAATTCGGCAAAAAAGAAACCAAAAGAAGAGGATGAGGACGAGAAGATGGATATCGAGATGCATGGAATATCGGTGAAAAAGGAGATCAAAGACGAGCATGATGAGGTTGGGGACAAGCTTCGTTTCAGTAGACTTATATTTACTTTAGACTTGAACTTAGAGCTTTAGAGCCAAAAAACAAATTATTTTCCAGAAGCCATCCCCTTCATCGTCGACTCTTTCCTCTTGTTCTGCCACTCCATCATCAAGTTCTTCACTTCTTCAACCCCCAAATGTCCCCTCTCCGTCAACTGCAGCCGTTGCCCCGAGAACGGGTGTTGATGGCACTTCTGTGCCTGCCATTTCACACAAAACTGATGTAAGTGTTTTGATGAAAACTTTATTCTTATAATTATTTTCAGTTGGAGCGAAAGTTGGCCTCATCGCCAAAATCGGGAACTCCAGTGAACAACGGACTTGATGGATATTCGACAATCATAGCCGACGCAAATCTCGGAGGAGAACCGATTGAGCCATACGTTGAAGAAGAGAAAGAAATCCCGATTATAACAGAAGACATTGTTCATTCGTCGAAGAATTGTGAATTCATTCTTGCTATGAAATGGAAAGATGGACAACGAAGTGCGAGAACGGATTTGAGATTTAGAAATAAGGTAGGTTTAAGTTAACGAGTTAAGTTTAAGTTTGTTTTAAGTTAAGTTTAAGTTTGAATGGTTTAAGTTAACGAATTTAACTGATTCTTTCAGCCTGGATCTGCTTGGGATCAAGGAAAAAAGAGAAGCACGCGAAGAAAGGAGGAAGACCAAATCACATTCGAATTCCGCTGGGCAACCGAAAAGGTACTTTCAAAAGAATTTAAGACTTTCAAAACTAAAATTTGGCTCAGTATAGCGATAAATATTCATTCTTAAGATCTTTAATACTTTCTTTACTTTGCTATAATACTAAAAACAAGTTTCAGGAATCGAACCCGATCGCTCAACAACAATCTTTCTCGGAACTCCTTGGAGGAGTGGCAAGAGTTGCGTCTGGAATGGTACCCGTTTCAATGCCTACTCAGATGTCTGCTCAGATGTCCGGTCTGCCGCCTGGGATCGCAAATTTACAAGCTGGTTTCCCACCTGGATCTATTCATCCTCATCTCTTACAACAAATGGTTGCTCTTCAACAAGCCGCCGCTCTCGAACAACAGCAACAAGCCGCTGCACAAGCCGCTCATCAACAAGCACAAAGCACAAGCACAAGCCGCCGCTGTACAAGCCCAACAACAGGCTCAGCAACAACATCAACAACATCAACAACATCAACAACAGCAGCAACAGCAGGTATCATGAGCAAGACTAATAAAGTTATACAAAGCCAATTCTAGGTAATGCAAGCGAGAATCCAACAAGAGGCTCTTCGTTTTATGCAAATGGGTCGAGGAGGGCCACCATTTGGTGGAATGGCTCCACCACCTCCACCAACGTCTTCCGCACAAGGTGGTCATCCCATTGGAATGCCCCATTTCGATATGAATGCTCTTGTCGCTGCCGCTGCTCAAGATCCAGCCGCTATGCAACGCTTGCAAATGGAAATATTACTGGTAAGCCGATTCTAGATCCATTTTAAACACGTACAACAAGGCAAAGGCTTAGAAATTTGCTTTGAACTCACCATTTCTAGCAACAACAAGCCCAGCACCAACAGCAGCAACAACAGGCTCAACAAATGGCGGCCGCATCGATGGCAATGGGTGTCCCGCCTGGGATGGCTGTTACACCAGAAATGCAAATGATGTTAATGCAGGGATTGAGGGGATTTGAGGTGAGAATTGCTATTCTTTAGCTAAAATTTAATAAAATTGTTCTAGGCAGCTGCACAAACAAGCCGCTCAACAACAAGCGGCTGCGTTGGCTGGAATGGGAATTCATCCACAAATGCTGGCAATGGCTCAATTGAGTAAGTAGAGAAATTAGAGTTGATTTGCTATTGGGTTTGAGAAACAGCACTAGATATATCTTAGGGATTTTGGAAAATTGGGGCTTGGAGTAGAGAATTTTTCGCATCAGCCGACAAGATAAATGCAAATTTCCCAATATCTTTCTTTTATCTTAATTCTAATCAAAATTATATAAAATCTAGGACTAAAAAGAAGCAAAAATTTGATGATAAAGTAAGATATTAAAGGTAAATTTCTATATTAACTCGGGCGAAAGTACTGCTCAAAGATCCTGAGGTCTCTTATTGGGGTAGGCTAGTTTCCGCCATTTTATTTCGCCAGGGTCATTTGCGCAACTGGGTCGTTTACGCAACTCCCCATAACTTTCTTCTAAGTGGATCAATCTTTATGATTTTGGTGTCATTTTGTAGATCTCAATAAGTGCAACAAAATGACACCAAAAGATTGGCTGACAGAAGGAAGTTATCCCGAGTTGCGTAAACGACCCTGTTACCAAAAGGTGCGGAAACTAGCCTACCCCTGAAGTGCTAGGCTCTTATTTCCCCTACCGTAACCAGAATAAGACAACTGAATATCTTTTAACAATTTACAATGAAAACTTGTACTCACTTCTTGTCATTTGCAGATGGAATGGGCGGCCATCAACTCCCGTCTTCCGATATGATGCGTCGATTGCAAGGCGAGGGTTTCCGACAATAATGACCTTCAACCATCATTCTTAGAGAATATTTTCAAATCCAAATGCAAATGCAAATCCAAGTCTAAATCAAATCTAAATCCAAAATCTTTTTCTCCTTTTACCGATGTGCACTTTGTTTTCATTTTGCTCAGTTTTCCCGATTTCTTTGTGCGTTTCTCCGTGTTCTCAATGATCATGATCATCTCATTCCCATTTTTTTCATTTCGGGTGTCATTTTTTCTCTTTTTCAAATGATATTCTTAAACCTCAATATATAGTTATCCTTTTTTTTGGGAAATATTCAACCGGCAAGTCACAACTAGTCGACAAATTATTTTAAAGGTTGATCGTTTTAGAGTTTAATGAGTGTGGATCGCTGTTTCATTTCGCTGATCGCTGATCGCTTTAAAAACCTTACAGAAATGATTTCTTTCTTATCATAAAACCGTTTCAACTATGGCTGAAAGCGTTAAAGAGATACTGAGCTTTCTAAAGCGTATCAACGCTTAAAACCTACCGTAACCCTATCGTAAACATGTAAACTTACGTTTCTAACAGTATCTAACTTAATTCTAGTAGTAAAATTAACAGTTTTTTAAAAGACACTAAAAGCTATTGTAGATCGATCATCTTTAAATCTAGATTCGTTATCTTTTAAAATTTTGTCCAGGGTTTAAAACTATTGAACACTGAATACCCTAATCTTGACTAAATACCGTGATCACTAAATACCATTTCCGCTGATACCTATCCTAGGTTTAATACCGTAATCCAGACAGTCTAGACTGAATACTAAATATTCTGGGCTGAATATCCTATTCTAGATTGAATACCGTAATCCAGACAGTCTAGACTGAATACTCTAATCTAGACTGAATACTCTACTCTAGACTAAATACCTAATCTAGACTGAATACCGTAACCTAGCTATTCTAGACTGAATATCCTATCCTAGGTTTAATACCGTAATCCAGACAGTCTAGACTGAATACTCTAATTTGGCTAATTCTACAAGAAGCACCGTATCCCATAAGACTTCTTGAAATGAAATGACTTCCATGTTTGAAAGCACTACAAAATCGACTCTGCTGTAACTTCTAATCGATCAACCTCTTCAAACCTCCAATTTTTCTGTTTTTCATCTCAGGAAATCCCCATCAACTTCTCATCAAACCCTCCATGTTATAAAGTACCTTATTTTTAAGAACTTAAACTTTTAAAAACGCACAAACTCACCGTATTTTCGAGTCTATTCCGGGTAATTCTTGATTTTCCTCAAATTTTGCACCCTTTGGTTCCCCAAAATTTCACCGCCTGTATTCTTTGGCCTTTTTTTCTCTGTGCGCAGAAAAAACAGTGAACAATGTGATTTTGAAATTCGGCTCTCAACAAGAATTCTGCTCTCTCCGATATTGTTTTGTTAAAGTTTTTAGAATTTTCCCATTTCTTTTTCTTCTTTCCAAGAATCCTCAGCTTTTTTGTTGCCAATTTTGTTGAATAAAATTTTAGAATTTTATCGAATTTGACAATGACAATGTAAAATTGCTCACAGTTTTTCGAAATTCCGAAAAACTCGATTTTGATCCGTAAACCAAGCAGCTGCGTGGTTTATGTTTTCCATTTTCCTGAGTTTTATAAACATTTGCCGAAAAATGGGGAGTGATTCATCACCCGAACAGCGTCACTTATCTCTCTGACATCAGAGTCGAGGCACGAAAAGGAAATTGAGAGAAAGCTCACCACGTTTTTGGATAAAAATCAATTTTGTATTCCTCAGTCAAAAACTTTCATTTCATTGGACTTTTCTCTCTTCGAATCCACAAAATTTCATTTTGTACAAAAAAATAGCTTTATTGGTAGCAGTTTACTAAAAGTTTACTAACAACAATAGGGGATGGCTACTTTGCGCCAAATTTTTGCGCAACTCGCCATAACTTTCTTCTAAGTCGGCCAATCTTTGTGATTTTGGTATCATTTTGTAGATCTCAACAAGTATAACAAAATGACACCAAAATCATAAAGATTGACCGATTGGAAAAAGTTATGGCAGTACCTAAACTGGTTGCGCAAAAAATTTGGCACAAAGCCACCCCCACAACAATGATTTAAATGAAATTTTTGTCTAAAAATTCTAGTTTTATACCCCGGAATACATTAATCTAAAATACGACGTGACTAAGATATTCAGTTTAGCTCACAAAATCGAAAACATAAAGTCTACAAAATCCTATTTTGCTTGATCGAAGTGTTACATTTTTAAGTACTATGTGTACCTTGGTACTTTTTTGATAGTATTATTTTTCCCTGCGTATTACATTTTATTACGTATTTTTTTCCCTAGTATTACGTTTTTGTATATCTCCCCGGGGGTGGGACAAATGCGACCTTTTTTGCGCACCTGGACATTTGCGCACCTTTTTTGCTGGAAAAGGCCTTAGGAAAGACCGTAGAGCTTCGAAAATATTTCGAAATTTTTTCCATATAAGGGAATCGTATGCGTAGATTCCGAATTTCGACAAATCAGACCTCGCTGATACGTCAAATTTGGGCTAAAAGGCAAAAACTGCGGAAAAGCGTTAAGTTGCGTAGTTTTTGCCTTTTATTGAATGACTTGTCAGCAGGTCTGTTTGTCGAAAGTCAGAATCTACATATTCCCTTCTATGAAAACATTTTTGAAGCTCTACGACCTTCCCAAGGCCTTTTCAACAATTGCGCAAATGTCCCGGTACCAAAAAGTCCCATCATCCCACCCCCTTCTCCCGTGCGTTTTTGTCATGTTAAACCGTTATAAAACAATGGTATGAGTAAATATGGTTGCCGTAAATACTGTAATAGTACCCGCACCCCCATAATGATGATGCGGAGTGTTGCGTAGTCTAGCTTTTGAACGAGTTTTTCTCGACACTGGTGTATGCTACCAATGCGCTTAGGTATCAAAAATAGCCCTGAATTTCAGCTATTTTTTGATACCAAAGACGGGCCTTTTCTTTGAAAACACGGGTGCTTTGACAAAAAATGAAATGCTAAAAAACTTTTGCGACTACGCGACTGTACGAGGGAGGGGGGTACTATTACAGTATTTACGGTAGGTATATTTTTACGATCTCTTTCATTCGTTCGTTTTCAGAGGGTGCTTTTGTAATCAGAGACACGCTTGCACGCTTTGAATCGAAAAACGTCAAAAGATCACACAATGGCTCCAAATATCGAAACTCGTCCGTAGCTAAATCGGTGGCGCTAAAAGGAGATTTTTGAGGCTCACCACCAAAAGGCTTTTATGTATGTGGGAAGAAACGTTTTTGTTGCTCTATGAATGGGCTGGGGAGGCCTATAGCAGTAGAGGCAAGGTAGAGAACGTAGCTTCCCTTGCCTGCTTCGCCCCACCCCCCACCCCTACGTATTATTGACACAAACTGCTGCCCTCTTCACCCCCTCCCTTTCATACCTTTATACTCAAATGATCCACCTTCATCCCTTTTTCCATTTGGATCAAATTCGAATTCCATTTGATCTCATTTTTCCGACTTATTTTGTTTACCTGAATATTTAGAATTTTGGCTATTGGCACTATTTTCATTTCAAGTTTAGATCTTAAAAAATTTCTGGAAAGTCTTGAAAACGTCTGAACTTTGATAATTGAACAATGCGCTCTCCATTTTACTGGCCCTCCTGGAAGGTTTGAAACTTTATTCATATCCATCTTTGAAAAGAAAACCCTTGGTTTTAGATCTAAATAACATCAATTTCCATTTAGTGAAGTAGACGATCTTGGTTTTCGACGTCCATGGGATGTAAAACTTGACGAAAACTGTGAGGTTTTTGAGTTTAAGTCGCCAAATCGATCAAGCCAAGATCGAAATCTGTTGTAATCATTATTGGAGCATTAGCTGAATGCTAAAGTCTAAAGAAAGCCATTTCCAGCCACTTACTTCAAAACAGCAAATGCCTACTCGGATTTTTGGACCCAGTACTTGCCGACGTTGGTGAGGAGGCGAAAGAGATGGGAGAAAGTCTGATCCAGAACACATCCTTTGCTGAGTTTGTGGTTTTGAATGAAATCTTATTTTAAGTTGAAAGAATAATGTTTCGAATCAAAGGCTTTGACAATTTTATATTATAATCATACTTATCAATATTTCCGGTGCAACGTTTCCATTCCCCAGGGGCGTACCATCGACGTTCCGGAAAGAGGTTTGGGTTTGGGCTTTGTGCAGAGCACATCAAGGCTTTTACAATAAAATTGAGCTTTTAGGTTTGGCTGCGTAATTGTCCGCCTCGTGGTGAGATCCCGTCAACTTCAGTACCGAATTTAGTGGCTGAAGAGATTCGACTTGATCTACCGCGAACATTTCCCGATAATATTCGATTACGGTAAGAGAATTGGGTAAAATTTGTGATGTAACAGTTTGTATCTGGACGTTAAAACGAGATCTAGAGATCAAAAGATATTCAGCTTTGTCAGCTTTCTCAGCAAAGGTGGATATATATTTCTTAGACTGTAGTGAGACAAGAAACCGGGAACTTTAAGTGTTTTTAGAAACACAAAAGCCCAAAACACGGTGGGAAGGATTTTGTATGAGTTGGCCCGGTTTGTTCCATCGATCAGCTATTGTCAGAGTGGGTATTTTTGTGCTAGCTTTATTAGAATTAGATCTTGTATTCCAGATAAATTTGTCCAGGGTCTCAACTTCATCGCCGCTCTTTTTTGTGGCTGCTTTTTGGAGAATGAGGAACGGACAGGAAGATCTTCTTATATTTTTGGTTTGTCAGAGAAAAAGACCATGCAATCTTTCAATTAGATAAAACCCCGAAGCTCTTGGTATGGAATGGATATGAGTGGATTGCGCGGAGATATGCGAGTATTGGCTTATGAGTTGTTACGGTGAGTGGGAAAATGGTTATTTTGCAATGACTATTCAGATTTATTGCAGTACATTGCTACACTAGTTAACATTGAATTCAACTAGCCGTTTTCTCTAAAATGAACTCGACAATCAGCCGACAATTCAGTCAAGAAGTACCGGTGATTTGTTCGACATTGGTTCGTCTCGATGTCGGTTTGGATCTCCCTACTCGGAAAATGGTTCCTTTGCTGGTTTCTGGAAGTTCTTCCGATGGAGGTGAAGAAAAGACAATAATAAAGAAATTTTCTTGTTCAGACGGTTCCTCCGAATTTGGGATTGTTTCATTTACGAGGACGTTGTTTGGTTCTTTCGAGTTGCGATACGGTAAGAAATAAAAATGACATAAACACTACTTTCATTGCTTGTTCCAGATTGCTTCGAATAAATTCCATAAAAATTGCCGCCTGCAAGACGATGGATCAACTATTGACAACGATTCAATCAATCGGACCGAGTAAACCCTCACTTAAATGTCATCTGCTTATACAGGTAGATGAGGGCTAAAGTTTCTAAAGAATGATTAAAATTGTTTTGATAATTGCAGGGCGAATTAAAAAAACAAAATAGATTTCCTCTAGGCTTTCTAAAAGTTCGGAAGGCTTCTTTCGGAAGTTCGAAGGCTAAAAACTTCAGAAAAGTTACCGTAATCCCACAATGAGCCAAGTTACTGAAAAGCTTCCTAGGTACGGTAACTTTTTATAAGTACGCCTTTATCCACGCATTAGAACAAGACCAAAATGAGATTATTTAACCGAACAGAAATTTGCATAAAGCTGAATTTCAGAATGCGATGAGCGAAAAGATCACTCAAGATCAAGTCGACGCGTTGAGAGATCGATTCTCGAAAGAATTCTAATCACTCATGTGTACAAATGATTCGGGTCCTAATAAATAATTTCTATAATCTAATTTTTTTTTCATAAACAGATTTTTCATCTGTTAAAAACACGTCAATTTACAAAAATGACAAATTTACATCCGACTGTCGTCATGACAAAATGACAAATTTACATACGACTGAAAAATGACTATCGTCATTTTTCTTCTCATAAAGAATTTCATTTATTAGCCAACTTTCTTTGAATTTCCTTCCCTTAGTTGAAACTGTAAGTTTTTCTACTTTTTCGTTCAGAAATGTTTTTCCTAGTAAGTCAAAATGAGATCAAGCAGAAAATCGTAAATTGATCATCAACTAGACATGGAACGGCTACTATCAAGTGAGTGATTCGTGTTTTTGTTGTTGCTGGATGATTGTTGGAGCACTAGGAGTGGTTAGAGTAGATGTTTTATCCGTAAATATGTTTTATCAACCACGTAAATTTATATGGATTGTTCCGAAAATGTTGTCAATCAATTTAGCTCACTTTTTACTCTAGGAAAAGTTTAAAAACTCATGACTGGAACACTAGTTATGGTCACCAGAGTTACCAAATGTTTTATCCAATAAAATAAACATTATCTTTTCTCCTTTTAGAACCTGAGACAGCGGCTCGGAAAGCTCATCGTTTGGAAGGAACTCTATGCAACTTTGCCCGTTGAAAAGCAGAAATCCTTCAAATTTTGGCAAAAGACAAAAGAACATGACCGGAACGAAAGCAGTACTCCAAAATGGTCAGTTGAGGCTTAAACAAGCAAAGTTTGTTGTTTAGTTTCTGGATTTGCATTACCGGGTGAAATTTTGGCCATCATGGGCGGCTCTGGTGCCGGAAAAACAACTCTACTCAATATTCTCACGAACAATAAACAAGAAGGAGTCAGGGTTGTTTTGTCCTGGTTTTAATGTAAATCTTTCTTTAGCAATCTGGCATGGTTCTTGTGAATGGTGATGAAGTGGATGAAACAACTCTGCGACGAATAGCCACCTTTGTACAACAAGTGTGTTTAATATTTTAACATATGTCTTACTTTTTAGGTGGACGTATTTTGTGGCACTTTGACGGTGAAAGAACAATTGCTTTTTCTCGGCAAGTCTTCGGATGGAAAGAGGATATACAAGAGCTCAACGGCGTCAACGAGTTGAAGAGGTCATCACTGAAGTGGCTTTTGTTGTACTGCGAGTAATGCACTTATTACACTAAAAGAAAACTTACAACTTGACATTGTATACTTTGAATTTTTTAGATGAATTTGGTTGATTGCCAAACAACATTGATTAGGATCCCAAACCGAACCAAGGGAATTTCTGTTGGTGAAAAGAAGCGTTTAGCGTTTGCATGTGAGTATGAATTCAAAATTTTTGAAACAATTGCCGAGTCTTTAGGCAATCTTATCAATTTTGTATGCATTTTTAGTTTATGTTCAGGGTGCTCACTGATCCTTCAATTCTTTTCTGTGATGAGCCAACACGTGGTCTTGACTCGTTCATGGCACAACAAGTTGTTACTTGTCTTCTTCGCTTGGCCGCTCAAGGGAAAACTATTGTCACTGCCATTCATCAACCGTCAGCTGAAGTCTTTCAAATGTTTCACAAGTAAGTTTTGCAGTTCCTACTTTTCTTTCTTAGTTTTTCTTTAATTCTAATTTGATTAATATTCTAAACTTTTTAGAGTATGTTTTATGGCTAATGGTCGATCCGCGTTTCATGGACGAGCCTCTGGAAATTTTATCCTTTTTGGAAGCAATCATGACGATCATATTGAGCGAGTTTATTTATAAGTTTCTATCATAAAGAATATTTTGGGGTTCCGTTTGATTGCGCTCCAGCCGACCACATGATCCAACTACTCTCAGTGGAACCGGAAACCCAGGAATATGATTGTCGACAGTTGAAGTAGGTGAATTGATACACGCTAAATAAATTCTATTGTCTAGCGAATCGTTGAGCATTTGAAAGAAGCTGACCAGGGCGAGTTTTGCGGCGAGTCGTGCACGGGGATTTGAGTGGCAGTGTGCGTAGTCTGCAGAAAGTGGAAACCGTGAATTGCAGAAGATCCCTTGGTGAGTTTTAGTTAAATTTCTTATTGTTAACTGCGGCTAATCCCTTAAATATCCTTAAAGTTTTCACTTCATAATCTTATGAAAAACGTTTAAATTAGTTATGTTTGTTTTAGTTATGCAGCAAAAACTTGTTTAGTTATGCAGCGTCGTTTTTTTCTCAATTCTGGGCTCTTCTCAAGCGATCATTTCTTGCATCTATTCGTGATCCACTACTCGTCAAAAGTAAAACTCTTTCAAACAATTGTGAGTTAATTTGGTTTAGATTTAGATTCGATAATGTTTAGCTTTTTATTTCATGCCACATTCTCATTTAGATTACCGCTGTAGTGATTGGCTTAGTCAACTTGCAAGTGCAAATAACTGGGGATACCATTCAAAACATCGGAGGAGTACTCTACACTACAATTCGTGATATGAACTACCTCTTCCTTTACCCTGCTATTAATGTGGGTTTGGTTATTACAGGTTTCTTATTGCCCAGTTTTTAGGTGATCACCGCTGAGTTGCCTCTTTTCTTAAGAGAACACAGAGCACAAATTTACTCCGCTGACAGGTATGATTTATTTTGGGTTAAATACTTATTTTGCTTTTAGCTATTACTGGGCAAAATCTGTCGCTGAGTTGCCACAATACACAATTCTGCCAATTATCTACGCTTTAATCGTTTATTGGATGACAGGTAGAATTGATTTGAGCTTTGACATATATCTGATTGATCGTTTTAGGTCTCTATGCGAGTGCTGGTGTGTTCTTCAAATATCTTTTTGTGTGTATTCTCCAAGCATACGTGGCAGTTTCAATAGGTTTTGTTTAGTTTTTTCCTAAATTGCCTAGCTTACAATTAGCTTTTTACAGCTAACACCAATATCTGTTGTCAGAAACTTCTTATTTTTAATATACATCATTTTAGCGATGTTTGGCGCTTGTGTATTTGGTGAAGAGGGAGCTGCAATTCCTTTTATGCCCCTTTATGTGCTACCGATGCGAATCTTTGGTGGCTTCTATATCAACTATGACGATGTGCCGCCATACTTTCAGGTAAATGTTTTGCACTGTCACTTAGAATGTTTACTTATCACTTAGTGGGCTACATTTCTTTCATGGTTCCGCTTTGGTTTTGAGGCACTAGAGAATAACAATGGTTGGCGCATGGGATTATTGAAAGTAAAGTGTTTTTTATTTATTTTGGAATTTAGTTAAATCCGAACTTGTGAGAGGATGTCAATTTTACTTTCAGACTGTACCGCCCCTGTCCAGCGAAGAATGGCGCAGAGTGATGCTGAATCGCGATATGAAGCCCGTAGGATGCTCTTTTGGATAGATAGCGGTCAGTTTGGGTTTAAAATGTTATTTTTTATGAAGTTTCTTTTAGGAATACTCGTGGCAATGTTTTTGATTGGACGTATCTTTGGATTAATAGCGTTAAAATTACGGACACGATTTGCGAAATGACACAACTTTACTAGCAAGTTCTTTAAATAAATAAAATTATGCGCTTGTATAATAACTTATTACGTGCATTTTGGTGATCAGAGTATAAAATTCGGCACATAGAACAATTGGTTTTAATGTAAGTATTTTTTATCTAAGCTCATATGAAACCCATACCCATTTAAAACTATCACAGAAAACGTTTTTTGGAGCCGGCACTTCCCTGATCCATATAAGGCACGCAATAGAAAAGACAATTTTGCAAAAAGGCCAAAAATAAATAAAATTGAAATTTGAGTTCATAAGCTCATCAAATTGCGACAGTAATAAAAACCTAAAATGGACTTTTGTTTCAAAGCATTATCTGTTCGACAAAGAAAGCGATATCTACAATATAACTTAAAATAAATTAACTTATTTTTGGTGTTCAAAAATGGAAACATTTTTTTAGTTCACTCAATTTCTTCACCATTCTCTCAAAATAATGAGAAGAATTAAGTGTGCTAGAAAGAATGTGTTTATATTTCATGCACAAAGTAAAAGCTGAAAATAATGTGAAACCTAACACCCAGGGAATCCACCAGTAATAAGAAGAGCACAATGTGGGTGAACAGGGCATAAAGAGCACAAAATAGCGAACAACCTGGAAGAAGGGCCGGCGAGCCCCGCGAGCACGCAATGATCTCAACAAACGACCGAATCTCAATGGAAATGAGTTTCCGCGATTTGGAGGAATCAATTGAAGTCTCGAACTTGTTGAGTTCTAAATTTATCTCGTTTTACTTTGTTCTATCTGTTTTGAGCAAAACTGTAAACCGTCGAAGGCCTGGAGTTCAATCAACTCCAGAATCGACACTTTCACGGCTTTCCTCATTCTGAGAGATCTAACAAAAAAACCAAGCACTTTGCTCACCGGTGTCACGTTTTTAGCAAGTTTCTTTTCCATAGCATAAATGAGCATTCTAGTGACACGTGTAAGCGAAAAGCACCGAAAATCAAAAGCCATGCTTTTAATCGGGTAATCGCAAAAAATAGAAAACCAATGTTAGGATAGAAAAAAAAAGTGTTTTAGTATCGTGCATGACACTCGAAAGCAAATCGCTCTTGTGATTGTTGAACCTCAAAAATCTGGATTGTTGAAACACCACGGTGACCGCAATTTGTGCGGATTCAACTCTTGGTCGTTGTCGATTTCGTCGTTTTGGTCGAGTTGAGACTGGGTTTCTCCCCGATTCACTTTCCTGACAGAGAGTCGGTCTTTTTTTTTAGCAAGAAACACTTTATTCGGGATCAGACAGTATTTTGGAGTTGACTCAGGGTAACTTGTATTCGTCTCAAATTATGCATCGTGTCAACTTTGAAAAACTACCGGAAGCTTGCCTTTTGGCTACTTATTATCCAATTTATTTGATAGTTTTGTATTCTAAGCCTAACAAAATCAAATGAGAACGTAGATTAATTGGATAAAATAGAGACGAAATTACGGTAGCTTTTGAGTTGCCACGTTCTAGAAAAGACTTTGTTTAAAACGAACACGGTTTAGGTTGAAGACAAGTCTTAGGCTTATTCGCTACATCATAAAGGTTGAAACTATTTTCTTTTCATTCCCACCAAACATATCCAAAATTTACTCTCCAAATGTGTCTCGATTCCGTCAACCAAATTCCCATCTTCAAGCGATCGATCAATAAACTTGCAGAGAGAAATTCGATTTCCTTGATCGTCTTCTATCCTTCATCATCAGGATTACTTGAGATAATCTCCAGGTTTCCCAGCTAAAATTGTTTAACTTACGACGATTGCTTTGTCTATTGTCTACTTTAAATGCGAACATTTGATCAAATCACCTCTCTAATCCGCGCCTCAGCCGCCGTCAGTCGTTCTATCAGCTCCTCCCTGCTCGGCTGTAGGTGAGATGCAACATTTTTGAATATCGTTAAAGAATCTCTTTATACATTTTCTCCAATCTCCACCGATGAATCTGGTTTCTACCCTCGAGAGCTAAATTGAAATTTGAAATGAAATTTGCATTTCGTTACCGTGTTCTGACATCACTTTGCTCCAGCCACTGTCAAACGAGATGCATTCAAACGAGACTCCAATTCAACCAAGCTTAAAATTATTAAATAATTTACAAGTTTGATCATTTGACCATTTCAATAATCTTTTAAAAAGAAAAACTTTTGTATTTACATACCGTAAATACTGTAATAGTACCCCACTCATCGTACAGTTCCGTAGTCGCAAAAATTTTTAGTATTTCATTTTTCAAAGCGCCCGTACTTTCAAAAAATGCGTCTTTGTTATCAGTAAAAGCTGAAATTCAGGGCTATTTTTGATACCTAAACACTGATATGCTTATAAACTAGTGTCGAGAAAACTCGTTCAAAACTAGACTACGTGATCTCCGTCTTTTGATATCGGAAAATAGCCCTGAATTTCAGCTATTTTTTGATACCTAAGCGCGCATTGCAGCATAAACCAGTGTCGAGAAAACTCGTTCAAAGCTAGACTACGCAACACTCCGCACCGTCATTTTGGGGGTGGGGTACTATTACAGTAATTTACGATATAGATTTTCTTTACCGTAACACATTGTGCATTTTTGTCAACGGCGACTGGAGTCTTTTCAAGTTGATCTACGTCAATTGTTTTTATAAGACTATTATTTAACTAGATAAAAAGTATTAGTGACAAATTTGTTTGTTTGTTTATAAAATA